GACGCCTGAAATTTCATTAATTTGTATTTTAGGTGAAAGGTTATTGTTTTAGGTTTTTTACTGTCAATTTAACGCGTATCCAATCTGAATGTAAATCTCCCTTTATACTTCATTTTTTTGGGAAGTGTCAAAGAAAGGTCTTCGCATGGCACAATTACACAAGGAAGAACAAAGCGACCCCCTAAATACCTTTTTTTTTAAACTTTATTATAGCTCTTAAGGATGGGATATATCGGTCCATTCCTTCTGGTACCACAAAGGGTAAAAATGTGGAATGTTCATGAAGCTCATAAAACGCTGAATTAACATCCGATTCCATTCAGATTTGGTACATCTCAATATTTACATCAACACAAGATCTGTTGTAAAGATGGTAGGGATCGGACCATTCCTTCTGGTACCTACCACACAAAGGGTCAAAGTTTTGAATAACCAAAACTATCATGAAATCTGAAATAAGCATTTGCTTCTCTTCATATTTCATACATCTCAAAATTTTCGACAACACAAGATTATTTTTACTACCACAAGATCTGCTGAGAAAAATGGATATATAGGTCCACTCCTTCGTGTTCCTACAAAGCTGAAACGCCGCAATATGTATATCATATTTATTTAGGTCCGATACGAAATATTGGGCCATTCCTTCGGAACCTATTCCATAGGGGGTCGACAATTCGAATAATCGTAACAGAAGTCAAAATATATCCAAACAATCGAATATTGGCTGAGGGTATACATCTGTCAGCAATACCGACTGATACCTTATAAATTGTTTTTTTTTTATACCCTCCACCATAGTATGGAGGGTAGATTAAGCTTATCATTCCGTTTGTAACATATTTTATATATTTTAGACCCCACAAAGTATATATATTCTTCATCAGCATAAAATTCTATGTCGATTTAGCGAAGTCCGGGCGTCTATCCGTCTTTGGAAATCACTTTAGCTTCCGAACGAAATGAAGTAGGTTGAGAAAATTTTACTCAAATGTACATTATGTCTGCAGGACTTTTGGTATTGAAAATGGGCCATGTAGGTTCACGGTTTGGTATAGCCCCCATATAACGGTACCCCCCGATAATCGGTATTTTGATGATTTTAGCGACATTATTCACCATAATTGTTTCAAATTTGGTATTTGAAGTACGCCATGAATACTACAGCCTAAGACAGGAGATTGTCTGTGCAGGTCCACGTCTTCGTATAGCCCCCATATAACGGTACCTCCCGATATTCGGTATTTTGATGATTTTAGCGACATTATTCACCGGAATTCTTTAAAATTTGGTATTTGAAGTTCGTAATGGATACTACAGCCTAAGACAGAAAATTATCCGCGCAGGCCAACGTCTTCGCATAGTTCCCATATAACGACACCTCCCAATTTTGTTTATTTGATTTCTATGAAATTTGGAATGTGTGACGGGATTTGATCCGAAAATAAATTTGTCCAATTATATTGAAATCGGTTCAGATTTGGATGTAGCTCCCATATATATTTTCGGCCGATTTCAAGCATTTGATGCACCAAACACGCTATGTATCCCCAATTTCAATGAAATTTGAAACGTTTGATAGATTTTATTATGTCCAAATGTAATGAAATTTGAAATAAGTAATGGAATTGGGAACAAAAATGAATTTGTCAAATTATATTGAAATCAGTTCAGATTTGGATATAGTTACCATATATTTTCGCCCGATCTCATATATTTGATGCACCAACACCATACATATGTCCGATTCAAATGAAATTCGGACAGACGAAATTTGAGACCAAAACAAAAAAAATTCCCAAATTATATTTAAATTGGTTGAGGTTTGGGTGTAGCTCCCATACATATATTTCGGCCGATTTCATATATTTGATGCATCAAACATGCTGTGTAATCGAATAACATTGAAATTCAGAATGTGTGATTTAATTTGGTCTAACGATTTATGCATCAAATTATATCTAAATCGGTTCAGATTTAGATATAGCCTTTGAAATGGTATAAGGCTAACAGTAAAAAACGAGACAACAATTTTATTAAGGAACGAATTATTACGGGGAAGAATATTGCTTCCTCGAAATCCCTGATTGCAACAGAAATGCCACTTAACTTCAAAAGATTGGAGTTTCCAGCACGCTTGGCATTTGCTATAAAATTAATCAATCCCAAGGACAAACCCTTCGTGTATGCGGACTAAATTTGGCATGTTCCTTCTTTTCTCATGGTCCTGTTGTTCCTGGCATATTCACGCGTTGGTAGACTGAGGTATTTGTTTGTGTACACATAAATATATTACAATAATTACGTTTTTTTATATTTTTGAATTTATCTTTTATAACCAAAAAATATTCGAATATAAAATTTTCAATGCCTATAAAATCACCGGGTTCAGCTAGTAAATTATAAAATTGAACAACCACAGTAGTTTATAATCATGGTGGTTTTATATTTTTTTATTTTATTTTACTTTATCAAGTTATCAACTATAAATAAATTTACACACCAATATATTGTTTTCAATTCAAACATACTCTTAATTTCGAAGTCACCATTACATTTCTCACTGTGTGCTTGGATTTGGTTATCAATGTCTTTCCAGCTTCACATCTTCATCAAATACCTTGATCCGAGCATTGTCACCCTGGTAATTGAAACTGACAAGATTTTAAAGTACATTATCGTTCAATACGTTGTAAAAAGGGATAAGTGAGTTTGAAAATAATACAAACTTCCGTAGAATATAATAAAAGCACTTCTGGATGTCTTTCTTATATAGAAGGCTTTTAATGGGTCTTTCTATATTATAGAAATATTTTCAGAGAAGACCTTGAAAGCGTCTTTCAGAAAAAAACTCTTCAAAATAAATGCGTTCTTTGGGCAAAAATATTCTGGAGAGTTATTTGAATAAAAAACCAGTAAGGAAAGCTCAAAAGTCGGGCGGGGCCGACTATATGATACCCTACACCACTATGCATATTTAGTAGAGCTCTCGTAAAAAGGTTTATACAGGGCATTTCAGAGCTCTATGAGATATTTGGTACAAAATCAAAATCTATCTAATTCTATCGTGCATTTTACGAACTATAGCTATCTCTGAACCGGGTTTCACCAAATTTGACGTATTAGCTTCTAGACTGAATTCGGTCTTATGTACGAAAATTCAGGTGATTTGGGCTGATATTGGCCATTTGATGCACAATTAACACGAAATCGGATGAAGATATATATGGGAGGCATATCCAAATCGGAACAGATTTTAATAAAATTAAAATCAACTATTTTTGGGCTTTATCTGATATCTGGTACCAAATATCATTCCTGTGGAGTGCATATTACGAATGTGGGGGACTTAAAGACCAAATCGGATGAAAGATATATATGGGAGCTATAGCTATATCTGAACCGATTTTTACTAAAATTGGTGTACTTGCTTCTAAGCTGGTTTCGGTCGGATTTACCAAAATTGATGCTATTACGGCCATTTGGTGGGAGCTATATCCAAATCTGAACCGATTTCGATAAAATTACAAACAGCTATTTCTGTGCTCCATCTAATACCTGGTACCAAATATCACGGTTGTGGAGTGCATAGTAGGAATGTGAGGGACTTAAAGGTCAAATCGGATAAAACATATATATGGGAGCTATAGCTGTTTCTGAACCGATTTTCTCCAAATTTGTTGTATTTGCTCGGTTACATGTGCCAAAATTCCGGCCATTTGGGCTGATATTGGCCATTTGGTGGTCAATTAACCCGAAATCGGATGAAGATATATATGGGAGCTATATCCAAATCTGAACCGATTTCGATAAAATTGAAAACAGCTATTTCTGTGCTCCATCTAATACCTGGTACCAAATATCACGGTTGTGGAGTGCATAGTAGGAATGTGAGGGACTTAAAGATCAAATCGGATGAAAGATATATATGGGAGCTATAGCTATATCTGAACCGATTTTCTCCAAATTTGATATACTTGCTTCTAGGCCGTGTGCCAAAATTCAGGTAATTTGGACTGATAGTGGATATTTGGTGAACATTTAACCCGAAATCGGATGAAGATATATATGGGAGCTATATCTAAATTTGATCCGATTCTCACCAACTTCAATAGGGTTCGTCCTTGAGCCAAAAAAATATTGTTTGGAAAATTTCATCTCAATCGGATTAACGGACGGACAGACGGACTGACATGCATGAATCGACTCAGAAAGTGATTCTATGAAGGTTCTCAAAAGTAACTATGGGTCTATCTCGTTTCCTTCTCCATGTTACAAACAAATGCACAAAGACATAATACCCTTACCACTATGTGGTGTAGGGTATAATGAGAATTTTCAAATTCTAATTTCCTACTTTTAAAGGTAAATTTTTGAAAGGACTAATCGTGGGTTTTTTTCAAACAAAATATTTAAAGAACTAACGTAGATTTTTTAAAGGACTAATTGTTGTTCCTCCTTTTGAAGATAGTCAATAAAATTGAAGACTTAAATAGATCATCTTCCATAGAGAAGGAGGACGTCAGAGACTTTCTATAAAGTGTAAGGATTTAGAGGTCAAAACAGACAATCAACAGACCCTTATGTAGACTTCTAAAGAACTGTGAGTGCTTTCAGATGACTTCTACGGAAAAAAGTCTTTCAAAACGCGACATACAAAATCCGGCCTTTGATTTATTTTATTATAAAAATAGCTTTTATGTTTCTTCTGTTGAAGGAATTCCTTTGACAGATCTCCCATAAATTGGAAATTGCAAGTTGGACTAATTTTTATCAAAGTTACTTAGTCATTTTTGTAAATCATCAGCTACCACACACACGGACGAACACTCACTGATAATTACTTGAACAGACTGCTGATGCCTCCCAGCGTTGAAGATGTCTGTGGTCTTGTTTCATCTTCTATGTTTTTTTTCTTTAAAAGTGATCTCTCACAGATGACAATGTAGAATTATCATCCAGATCTAAAAATTCTTTGAGCTTAGCTTTTTGTCTGAGTGTCACATTGATGGTCAGTTCGAAATAGTTCCTTCAACAAAGCAGACGTTTTGCGAAATCGAAAGCACAATGAACCGTATCCAATGGTTTTTAAGTGTACTTTTGGTTACGGCCTTGTTTATGGGTGCGCGTGCCGATAGTGACAGCGACAGTGACAGTGGTAGCGGCAGTGATAGCAATGAAAGTCGTGGCAAGCACCACAAAAACAAGGGAAAATCTCCGGCACCATTGCCCTACTATCCCCATCCGGGATATCATTACAATAATCCTGTTTATGTTCCACAACCTGCCCCGGCACCCTATCCCTACTATCAACAACCACCACCAATGCCCTACTATTATGGTTACCAACAACCGCCACCACCACAACCCATTCCCTATGGTAATCCTTATCCTTATGGCGGTTATTACAATCAACCTCCACCACAGGGTGCCGCAGCACCACCACCACCCAGCGGACCTGCTCCCGGCCAATTACCCCCCGCCACCCAAGGACCTCAAGGATATCCTGGCATTCCCGGTGGCACCAGCACAATTAATCATTCGTTGAAGGTTAACAAGGAATACAAGGAAGATGGTCATCACTACAGTCCCGATGCTCCCAGACCTCAATAAATAATGTTTTTAGAAGACCGGACATTTTTAAAATAATTTAATAAAGTGATTTTTTGAACAGCAGATGCAAAGCCCAAAAAAATTAGTTCAAAATCTGTCACTCTGAGGGTCAATAGAGATTATTAGAGATGCAGTCCTGAATTTTTTTCAAAGAATATTTTTAAGAATATGTTGAAGAACATTTTAAAGGACTAATTGAGGATTTTTTAAGTTTTAGAGTATATTTTTACAGGTGGTCGTGGATTTTAAGAGCATAAATTAAAACGACTAACTGCGGATTTTTTTGAAAATATGATTAAAGAACTAATCGTGGATTTTTAAATATTTTAAAAACTTATTGTTGGAGTTTTGGAGAATATTTTTACTGGATAATAGCGGATTTTCAGAAAATATTTTTAAGGGACTATTCGTGGATTATTTAGGAACATTTTAAAAAGACTAATTTTTAAAGAAATAATCGTGATTTTTTTAAAAATATTCTTTTTAAAAAAATATTTTCAAATATTTTTTACATACAATTCATTTATATTTAAATATATTTTAAAAAAATTTCAAATCTGTAAACATGGATTTTTAAGAAAATATTTTCAAATCTATAGACATGGATTTTTAAGAAAATATTTTCAAATCTATAAACTTGTATTAAAAAAATATTTTCAAATCTATAAACGTAGATGTTTTAAAAATATATTTACAAATCTATAAAAAACATTTTCAAATCCATAAACGTGGATTTTTTTAAAACATATTTTCAAATCTATAACTAATATTCTCAAATCTAAAAACGTAAATTTTTTTTAAAAACATTTTGAAATCTATGAAAAATATATAAACGTTGATTTTTTAAAAACATATTTTCAAATCTATAAAAAATATTTTCAAATCTATAAAAAATATTTTCAAAGCTATAAAAAATATTTTCAATATAAGTCGAATTTTTACAAAAATATTTTCTATAAATATGGATTTTTTTTTAAATATTTTCTATTAACGTGAAATTTTCTATATTAACAAAGAACATTTTCAAAAAATCAAATTAAAACCAGTAAAGAAAGTCTTAAAGTCACTTTGCTAATTTAGTAGAGCTCCACATAACAATTAAAAGTTTTTATGGGAGAATTCAATCATACAAGCTATGATTATAATTATAATTTGAAGTTCAACGGACTAAATATGCCGAAGCATTTGTATCTTTTAAATTCGGACTTGTGTTGCCCATTTGGTGCACAGATAATTTAAAATCGGATAAAAATATATATGGGAGCTATATCCAAATCTGAACCGATCTTTATAAAATTTTGCAAAGATATTTCTGAGTTGTATTTGATATATTTCCCTGAATATCGTTGTTACGGAAATATAACAAATATAACAAATCGGATGAACAATATGTATGGAAACTATAGCTATATCTGAACCGATCTTCACCAAATTTGACATACTACCTTCTAGACTCAATTCGGTCGTATGTGCCAAATTCCATCCCATTAAGACAAATATTAGACGTTTGGTGCACACTAAAAGGTAAATCGGACGAATTTATATATGGGAGCTATATCCAAAACAGAACCGATCTCGATAAAATTTGGCAAATGTTTTTCTGGGCTGTATTTGATATATTTCCCCAAATATTGTTGTTGCAGAGCGCATATTACGGCTGCGGAGGACAATAATAACAAATCGGATGAACAATATATATGGGAGCTATAGCTATATCTGAACCGATTTTGATCAAATTTGGCATACTTATTTTCAGGCCTAATTTGGGTGTATATGCAAAATTCCATACAATTCGGGCTGATATTACACGTTTGGCGCACAATAAAAGCAAATCGAAGATATATATGGGAGCTATATCTAAATTTTGACCGATTATCTCGAATTTCAATAGGGTTCATCCTTGGGCCAAACAAATGATCTGTGCAAAATTTCATCTGGATCGGGCAATAAATGCGACCTGCACTTTATATGGACAGACGGACGGGCGGACATGCATAAATCGACTCAGAATGTGATTCTATGCAGATCATCAAAAGGAACTATGGGTCTATCTCGTTTCTCGTGTAGGGTATAAATACGACTAAAATCACAAAAATACCAAATATTCGGAGGTACCGCTATGTGGCAATTATGGGCCTATTCCAGCCCAATTATGGGTCTATTACAGCCGTCTTCTGCTACATAAACGATTCCCCTGAAAATTGTGGCTAAAATAATCAAAATGTATAATATAGGTCTTTAGAAAAACAATGATCTGCCACAGGATGTAGAAGCCAAATTTAATAATCTGCCACAGGATGCAGAAGCCAAATTTGATGTACTTGCTTCTAGACTGAATTCTGTCGGATGTTTGGCCTGATATTTGTCATTTTGTGCACAATTAACACGAAATCGGTTGAGGATATATATGGGAACTTTATCTTTAAAAAGATTCTCACCACTTTCATAGGGTTTCGTCCTTGGGACAAACAAATATTGTTTGGAAAATTTCATCTCAATCGTATAATAAATGCGACCTGCATTTTGTTCACTAAAATATACGGACGGACGGATAGACATGCATAGATCGACTCAGAAAGTGATTCTATGAAGATCCTCAAAAGCAACAATGAGTGTATCTTGCATCCTTCTCCATGTGGTGGAGGGTATAATGAGACCTATATCTTCAAAATAACGAATATTTGAAAATTTACGCTCATCAAAAATATATACACTTTGTTGGAACTACGACGAGTATTTCGAGGAGTTACAAACGGAATACCAAAGTTCATATACCCTCCATAGTATGGTGAAGGGTATAAAAATTGTGGTGTCCCCTTAACACAAAAAATGGTGTTATTTAAATTCCAAATAAGTTTTATAGATCATCCTTTTTAAAATAACCAGAAATCCTTATTAGGTAAATGCCTCTCTTTAAAGAAATCCAGAAATCCCATTCTTTTTAACAAAAAAAAAATACATATCCATTTTTTATTTATATATCAATATGATTCATTTATTAAATTTGATTTGTTGTTGTTTTTTTTGTATTAATATTGTAAACTTCTTAAATTAAATTGATGTCTTTTTTTAATCTTTTCATTATTTTGTTGCCTCTTTGCATTCATCATTTATTCATTGTGGTTGATTTCTTTAGATTTAATAGTGTAAACAAATTGTGTGTTGTTGTTTTTTTTTTTATTTTTCTTATATTCATATATAATAAATATTGTTTTTATTTTTTAAATATATGTTATTATTTTGTTTCGCTTTGCTATTTAGCAATTAGCATAAATAAGGAACAAATGAAGACAAACGAAACACAAGCCTTCAGGTTTTTATCTTTGTTATCTTTGTTTACTTGTAAAAAATAGGACACACTAAATAAAAAGACTTGGAAATTCAATTCGATGAATAGGTTTTTTTATTTATTTATTTAAAAATAATAAATAATAGTTTTATACACAGACACAAAACAAATTCTTATAATAATAAAAAAACAAACAAATAAACATAGGACATACACAAAAAAAGTTTATATATATATATAGGTATTAACTTATTTTCATACAAAAAGAATATATCAATATATTTGATTGATAGAGTTTATATTGTTTTTGTTTTTTCTTCTATGAGGATTTTGTGTAACCTACACCACTACATTCGGGGCTGGGGGGGAGAACATATGGGGTTTTATTCGAAATGCATTTAGCCATAATTTTAGATTTTTCTGCCTTCTTTCAAAATATAACATAATTGTAATAGTTTTAGTGGAGCCTTGAGTGTTTTTTTAAGTTATTTTGAGCCCTTTGTGGTTTAGCAACTTTCTATGATAACCGTCATTTGTAGTAACACCCTACATCGTGAAAAGAATGTCCAATTGATTTTATCAATTTGTTTGCAAAGTCTTATAATTACCAAGTAGAAAATTTTATGAAATATTAACAACTAAGTTCGGCCGCGCTGAACTCTTAATACCCTCCACTACTTGGAAAGAACTTCAACAATTTTTAAAAAATCCGAAAAATACAGTTTTAATTATGACCTTTATACGGGGGCTCTACGAGGACGGGAACCTGCATAAGTAATTTTTGGCTTTTAAAATCTTCAAATGCGAAATTTGAATCAATTCCGGCGAATAATGTTGCTAAAATCATCAAGATACCGAATAAAGTAAGGTTCCGTCATGTGGGGGCTATACGAAGAAGTGTAACTGCATACTATATTTTTTGTCATAGGCTGTACTACGCGTTACGAACTTTGAATACGAAATTTGAAAAAACTACGGTGAATAAAGTCCCTAAAATAATCAGTATATCGAATATCGGGACGTATAAAGACAATTCTCTTTTAGGGGGTAAAGTACTCACAGAAAACTCCTGGTGTAGAATTTCAGACAATTCCATTGAAAATGTGGTTAAAATCATCAAAATACCGAATATCGGGGGGTACCGTTATATGGGGGCTATACGATATCGTGGACCAACATACCATCGTCGAACTTGGCCTGCCTACAGACAAAAGACAGATAAGTGCAAAATTTTAGCTTCCACTACCAACACTATAATGCATTGGTAAATCCCCTTAGGTTAATACACATTTTAGTAAATATTTTGAAAAAATACCGTACAGTCCTTTGAAAATATTACCTATGGTTTCTGACCAATGGCATTTGTGCTATATTTTCGCCCCATGTCATGCTGATAGGTATCCAAAACAAATTCACACACAATGTGTAGGTCATTTAACCCGCTAATTGTTATCCGATGACCATCCAAAGTGGTAGGCTTCTGCCCTGTGCTTAACTCTAACCTCATACGAAATCCGGATGGATTAATCTTTATTTGTAACCTTTAGAGCGAATAGGAACATTTCGGTCCCTTTAAACACGTTAATATTTGTTGCCTTAACAATTTGCCTTCAAACCCAATTTGAATCTTAGACTTCCGACACTAACCCAAACCTCGTGAGGTTCGGCCGATAATTGATATAACGTATAGTTATCGCGATGTTCCAAAATAAGAAGGGAAAGAGAATAAAGTCAAGGATCTGAGTAAGCTTACCGATGTAGAATTTGACTGTAATATTAATTGTAACTGTCCGATTTCTACTACGTCATGGCCTTAGTCAGTCATTGTGTTGCAAATAGCTACAGAAAACTATATCCTAAATTCGCTCAGGAAGACAGTGTGAACTTTTCCTTTTACAACCTGTCCTGACAAACGGGCTGTTTCTTATACGAACAAACAATATTCATGATACAACAACTGAATAAGTTATTTAAATTGAATTTTTACCAGAATCATATAACTAATCTAATCTTGCAAAGCAGATACGGAGATGGGAGCATTGAATTGCAACACCATAATTCACTCATTGGAAGACACATATGAAGAAGATCTTAAAACCAAATCCATAATACGGTTAGGCTTAATTGAATTGAAGAATGATTTCCGCTTAAGGCCTTTCATCATAGCATATTTTTAAGCTCTCCCATAAGATTTTAAAATAAAGGCTTTAGTACAAATATATTATTTTAACTGTAAAGCGTTTCTTTAGCGTTTAGACAAATGTTAAAATATGATTTAACATGAGGTATAAACTAGCATTTATATATCTAGGACTACGATTGGCGAATATACCTACATCGACGGCCAACGAAGATTCAGCTAAGAAATGCTGTTGAAATTATATGGAAGTTGCCTATTACTACCTACCTTTTCCACTACAAAGAAATGAGTAAGTTTCTAAGTTTCTTCTATGCACTTTCTTCTTTCGTTTCGTTTTTTTTTTGCGTTCACAATTTATCATTATTGTCTGATATTCTTGTTTTACTTTCGTTCTCCACTTCTTAATTAGCAAAATGTTGTGATGTATGTTCATTGTTTCAGCAGATTTACTATACTCGCTCAATTTATTTGTCATTTATTTTCATTTTAGCAAAGAAAGGGAGGCAAGGGAAAGAAGTTTTCTAAGCATCATTAGTGGTTTCTTGCGTATCGTTTCCCAAGCATTGTAAAACGTTTTAAAGTTATAAATGAGTTATTTTATCTTTCTTTTTATTCCATTCCTTTTCTTTATATATTTTAGAAAGTGCCAAAATGTTCTCAAAAGAAGTTTAAAATAACTTTTTTGCGTTTAATTTTTACTGATTTAATATTGCTTGAACAGAATTGACAGTTTGATAGAAACAATTGTTGAAAATCATTCATATATGTAAGTCTGTTTGTTGATGATTAACCCATAATGGAAAATAAGAGACATCAAAGCTAGCGTGCACACCTGTCCATCAATGCATTAATGGTGAGTATTTTTATTCACAAATTCTACGTTTTAATTTCAATTTTTCACCCCACTGAGGAGCTCAGGACATGTCTGTGCATATTACATTTCTATCCAATTATCAGGAATATGCATCTGAATTTCCTTCTATTTTTCATTGGTCGCTCAAAGCACAAAAGTTCTGGGGCACATTTGTCGCATTCGATATCGAATACCTTTCAATGCAAATGAATTTGTGTAGGCGCATTTTGATAGAAATAACTGGGGTTTGACTTTCACATTCGATATCCAATAGTTTCTTTCGAAATTTTCTACATAGTTAATCAAAATGCGAGAAATTGCCCCCTGCTCTAAAATATTTAAAATATATATATATTGGGTAATCTTCAGATGAGATCAGACAGAGCCTATTTATGAGTCGTAAATATTTGCAGGATCTGTGAGTGTGATACCCAGAAAATATGGTATGGTCTAATTCTCACCAGCCTTTCTTCATTGCATTCTGCGATTCGGAGATTCTGTTCTCAGCGGTCGAAAACATCACTGCAAGGAACTGTTTACATTGTGATATAGACCGCATATAATGGCACCTTCCGATAAACGGTATTTGAACGGATTTTTTTCTGAGTTGGTATTTGGAGTTCGAAATATGTACCTCTTCCTCGCAAATTGTCTCTACAGATCCACGCTCTCGTACCTACATATATTTAACATTTTGATTATGTTAGCCATATTTCCAATATAATTAATTGAAATTTGTAATGGGCCTATAAAGGACCATGTGTTTGAAAAGCCCTCATAGAACGATACTTTCGCTATTATTTAACATTAAGAACAGATTTCTATTGGAATTTGGTGTCGCAAGTTCCTATTAAAAGGGTGGATGGTTTTAATACCCCTCTTCGGCTTAACTACTTTTTACATCTTTGATAAGAACTGGAGTGGATTGTTAGGAAGTGTGGTAAAAATAAATGTTTTACTTTTCTTTACATTCAGGGAGAAGATTCTGCTTGGATCAAAACAAATAACGGTCAGAAGGGATAAGGCCTGGGTTACGAAGTGGACGAGCAAGTTCTCTCAAAATCCTGATCATGGTGGAAGATGGGAAACAACCACTCCCCTCGGAGACCTGCCGGACCATTGTTTTCATCCTAAAGTTAAAATAAAAGAGAAAGAGGAATTCTGGAACGTTTTCGTTAGTTTATCACCCTTAATAGTTGTTCTCATGACTTTCTGAGCCCATTTCAATAATACCGTGTTCCTCTACACAATACAGATGGCCCCATGAATATTCGGTTTCGATCTTAGCTCAACTATTTGATCGTCCTATACATACGTTGTTCAGAGCTTGAGGTTGTTGTTATGTTTCCAGATAACAATTCAATGCAGCAATGACTCATCAAAATACCTTGGAGATTGCAACTTTACATTGCTATAGCGATTTTAAAAAATATATTATGACCGAAAGAAAGATGAAAGACTTTACCACAAAATAACCTTGGTACTGAATTCGACATTATTGTAGCGATTGAAAATTGCGTTGGCATTTGTTTCATTATGTAATACGATTCCAAATTCACATCATACACAACCCATCCTCTATATAACAAAATGCCCATCGGTAAATGCATAATTTCTTTCAAACTTATATCATATTTATGGGTATTATTTAAAGAAATGATGAAATAACCAGTCATAAAAATAGCAATGTAACTTTTCGCCTGGTACGTAAATTCCGGACATCGAGAAAACCCACGACAATCATTATTTATATGTTATCCGAAATAGATTTTTTTTTACTTCAACATATATCTATGAGACCCTCCAATAACTTTATTAACGAACAAGGATGCAAAAGCTTTATAAAAAGATCGAAGTTAATCGAAATCAAAACCAAATAATCGCGAGTGTTATAAAATTTCGTTCTTTAGGAAGACATCTATATTTTCACAGGGTTAGGGACAATATCCAAATTCCTAATTGGCTCAAAAACGTTTCAACTCATTTCACTCCTTGATAACAGTACTGTATGTAGTTCCATATCCCTCAATTAAAAACTCCTGGCTAAATGTTACTACGAAAATACACATTCCGAACAAAATCATCTCTATCTATTTGGAGCTAGATGAAATGTCTGAAAAAGGGGTTGATCTAGAGCAACTCATAACGCATGTAACCTAACCTAATTTTATATTATGAGTTTAATTTTTCATATGTTGATTTGATGTAGATGATGTTCTCCCATTTGCACGCACATGCAATTTGTGTTTTGATGTCAAGTAATTTTTTGTTGTTATATTTCATTTAGAATATAATAAGTTATTTATTGTTTATTATTATTGTTGTGGTTGTTGTTGATTTATATATATTTTTAATAAAAAAAATTAACCATTTTTTACTTAAATTGTTCTTGTTGTGTTTTTAATATATATATATATGTACAGAGAGTTATATTAATTATAATAATTATCATATTCTTTTTTATCGTTAATTGTTTTATTATCATTATTTTAATATTGTTGGTAATGGAAATCAATAGTGGATCGTTTATAAGGATCAAGTACATACGTTATATTTTTTGTGCAAAACCACAGCATAGGGCAGTTTTGCATCCCAATAACATATTCGTTTATCAAAAATCCTTATAAAAGAGCACTACCATTTTTTTTTCATTTTTAGCTTAACATTTGTTTCCTCTTAACTTTTGTGTTTCTTAAAGAATGCAATTATTTTGTTTTTTGAGCGAAAACATAAAATATCAAAATTGTTTTTTTTGTTTATAAAGTGGTGTGGCAATTTTTGCACATTTAGTTTTTTTTAATTGTTTATTATATCGTTTTATCTTTATTGTATAGAAAATGACTTGACCTTTAATATTTGTGTTTTCTTTTTTTTCATAATAATAATGTATATATAAAGAGCGGGGTATAATGCATATAGGAAGGAATAGATAGAGAGAAAGTGTGTATGTAGTGAGTGCACTGACTGAAATCTTTTTCGTTTCGCTTTCGATTATTTTCTCTTTGTTTCTTTTTGCTACTTTATAAAGCCCATCATTATTTTAACATCAAAACTATTATTTTTAATTATTTCGTTTACTTTTTCTTTTTGATTTTTTCAGGTATTAAAGAAGACATAAGGGATCAAGCAGAAGTCTCGTTTGGTTCCATCCAACCTTCACTGTCATCATCCGATTCCGATTCTTCCGATTCGGATAGTTCAATTGCAACACGTCGGGCCAATATGGAGGCAACATCATGTAGACCGGTGCTACGTTCAATTTCTTTTTGTTCCGATTTCTCAACTTTACGCAGTGTAATGCCTGTAAAGAAAATTATAAATTATTTTAATGGAACAAAAATAATTTAAAATTTATCTGTTGAAACTCACCATCACGTATAGATTTCATTAGATCCGATCGCGTATCATGGAATGGTGGTAATATTTTCTTGGGTATATGTTTAAGACCATTCGATTGTATATCACCATTAGGCAAAGGTTTTGGCATAATTTGATGTGGTGCTTGGGTCTGTATGGGTGATGTACCATTTTCATCTAGTGGAGGTGGTGGAGGCGGCGGTGGTGGCGCAGAATTAGGTGGTGATAACTTTGGTTCATGCTAGGGGGTAAACAAGACAAGTGTTATTAATATATATGGTTTGAAACACTATGAGAGCACAAAAAGATCGAAATAAAAAGATAACTAAGGAACTTAAATAAATTATGAAAATACTAAGTACTAACACAAAAATGTTGAACGTCTAATGTTTAAACTTCATATATACTTAAAAAGTCCATATAAAATTTTTACTGAGAAAAATTCTTTACGTTGAAGATAGTATGCAGAATTAGACAAGGGATAATGTGAAAAAGAGGGATAAAGTTTGAAATTAAAATCGTCGGCATACTTGGAAGTGCTCTGAGGAATTTTCCACGAATATTTCAAACGAAAGTATAATAAGTATAATTGTTGAAAGTATAATTGTACGAAAAGTATTAAATAGTATTAAATTTGGTATTGGGTGAAGAGATAAAATTCTGTGTTTGAGATTTGGCGGTGGTTTGGAAATGCGTATTATATTTGTACGAAAAGTACTAAATGGTCGCCTTAAAACCCGTAATATGGGGGCTATACGAAAACGTAAACCTGCAGACGCGATTTTTTTTTTTGTCATAGGCTGTAGTACTCACTACGAACTTTAAATACGACATTTGAAATAATAATAAATATGTCGCAAAAAATATCAAAATATCTAATATTGGGAGGCGCCGTTATATGGGGGCTATACGAAAGCGTAGACCGACATGTCTTATTTACAAACATAACCTACAAAATAAGCATGTGTGCAAAATTTTAACCTTTTATCTCAAATTGTTCCAAAGACAGTGTGAATTACAACAGGCAGACAGACAGACTGACATCTATGTTGGGTCTAACATGAGTATTTCGAGGACTTACAAACGGAATGAAAAAGTTATGGAGTGTTATTCTGTGAAGGGAATAAAAAGACTTAACACAAATTGGTGAAACGAATATGAAATTTTAAGGCGGACTTTTCACTGACGAAGTAGAGGGCACTTGGTAGTTACCCATATACTCTCCAGAAATTTTAAGACATTTTTTTTTTTCAAATATGTAACGAATAAAAATTGAAAATTTTATTACTGTGAAAAAAAAAACTGTATTTGATCTATGAGAACAGAAAAAATACTACTCAAAACTACTACCAATAAAATAAAGACCAACAAATGAATTTTAAGCTATACAAAAACAAATCGTTTCTACTAAAAATAAAAAATCCAGAAATACCTTTGATACACCATAGTAGCCCTGGAGACATAAAGAAACAGCCATGAAAGAAATTGCAATATTAATAAAATATATTTATAAATTTAAAAAAGAAGAGTATGAAAATAGTCTGAATTTGAATCATCTATTTATGGTCTTAATATATAGAGAAGACCTCAAAGGTATTCAACCTTTAGAAGGGCAGAGGGCTTCTATCTAGGAGGGGACAAAATATTTTTATATTTATAGAAGATTCTTAAGGCCCATTATCTATTTGACTAAAACTCAAAATTCTGATGTTTATAGAAGACTTCGAATGACATAACAGGTATTCTATTTGTAATGGATCTCAAAGATCTTATACGTATATACGACTTCAAAACGTATTTATTTGTAGAAGGTCTAAAAAGTTTTTACAGGGTGAGATGAAAAAACTGCAACCAAATTCAGACTGCTGTCATTTCAAAGCCACTTGTCCGACAGCTGTTAAAATTATTCCAGTGACAATTCATTATATTGTTTACAAAAGCTTTTTGGTGAGAATTTTTCAGAAAAAAAGTTATTCGCGATGGAATTCAAGCGTGATAGTGCGATTTCTTTATATTTGGCTGGAAAACCACAAGTGGCTATCGTTAGAGTACTCCAGCATTTAAATGTGAATAAATATTTTTTGGCTCGTACCATCGCTCGTTACCCTGATACTGGTAGCGTAGCCGGACGTCAAGGTAAGGGAAGAAAACAGCTAGAACAGCAGAAATGGTTCGAAAAGTAAGGAAGCGACTTGATCGAAACCCACGTCGCAGTGGCCGAAAAATGGCTCGTGAGCTGAACATATCGCAATATTCCATTCGGCAAATATTGAAAAATGAGCTTCGGGTAAAGGCATTGATATTCCAAAAAGTTCAAGAACTTACACCGCAACAGAAAGAAAATACACTCAAAAGAGCTAGAGTTGCTTCCCTTGCCCGAAAGAGGTGAACTGTCGAATTTGGTATTTTGCCATGAGAAAACATTCGTTGTCCAGCAGTTTGTAAACAAACAAAATGATCGTGTTTACTTGCCAAAGAGGTCAGCTGAAAATGTGCACCTTCGGATGGCCACCAGAACTCAAGCGCCGGTCATGGTGATGGTGTGGGCCGCCATAACAGCCAAGGTTCGCTCTCCGCTCGTATTAATCGACCGTGGCATAATAATATATGCCGAATATTATCGCAAAAATATTCTGGAGGGTTTATTAAAGCCTAGGGCACGCAAACTAACTGGACTCATTGGCCGTTTAAAGGCCATAATTCGTGCTAAAGGTGGTCAATTCGAACAAATCTAAACTTATTCTAAAATTTGATGAATTTCCGAAATTTTTTTGCTTTCATTCAATAAAATTTAAAAAAGGTAAAAATTATGGCGTTTGACTTTGTTGCAGTTTTTTGTATATTAAAGACCTCAAAGGAATGTCAACCGATGAAGACCTAATGACTTCTATGTATGTGGGGCCAAAATATTTTTCTATTTATAAGACTTCTTAAAGTCAGATTTCGATAGGAAAACTCAAACTGGTCATATACCTACAGAAGACCTAAAAGGTATTCTATTCATGAAATATTCGATTTATAGATCTCCTGATTTTAAAGGGTATTCTACCTATAAAAGACGTCAAAATTAGTCTATTTATAGAAGACCTCAAACGTAACCTGTTTATAGAAGACTTCAAAGCTATCTATCTATTAGACCCCTCGACATTGTAATTTTTATAGATCTCAAGTTTTTTCTGTTTTTACCAATGGTCTTCTATCTAAAGGAGATTCCAGACATATTTTATGTATGCTTCGAATTGTTCTATCTATTAAAATTTTTCTCTTTAAGAGTTTAGTTAAATTTAATATTGCTATAGAAGACATTGAAGGTTTGTATATGAAAGACCTTAACGATCTATTTTGAGAATATTTTTCAATGAATATCTGATCACATTAGTTGTGCCCTGTCTTATAAATCTCTTGCCTTGAGTCAATTATCATTAATTATGTATACTTAAGTGCAAACACACTCTTACCTGATCTGGCACCGGCGGTGGTGGAGGCAAATCGTTCAGTGAATTCATTTGACCACCACCACCCAAACTCATTGTATTGAAACTGTTAATTGTGTTATTTAATTGAGCCATGACCATGGCATTAGCATCTTGCACACTATTGTTTGGTGCCAATTGAGGAGAGCCAGCTCTCGAAGTGCTATTGGTACGTGCCAATATTTTCGCTGCAATATGACCACTGGCACCGGGAACAGCGCCGTTCATGGCCGCCAACATTTGTGACGGTGAGTTCGTGTTGACCATACCGTCGGGTATGGGTGGTGGCGGCGGTAGAGCATCACGGCTTGTTGACATACTGCGACCCCTTGTTGGTGTATTGGCATTCGATGCTGTTGGTGTGCCACCATTACTGCCAGGTGGTGCTGGCGGTGGTACCGATGGTCGTGGTTTAGTGCGTGATGGTGTACCGGGCGCGTAGATTGGTTCGGGTGACATCGGTCCGCCGCCCTGTCCTGTCTGGCCATATAAACCTTGTGACTGATGGTATAAGGCATCTTCATACATTTGCTGGGCATGGGCATGCTGTTGCTGCATACCAGCCTGTTGTTGGTGTAGCATTTGTTGTGACGGATGCATACCGTTGGCGGCATATCCTGTGGTGGCATACTGACTACCACCACCCTGGGCATTTGCCATCATCTGGCCAGCCGTCTGTGGTGACAGGGGACCGTAAACACCATCAATTTGCTCCGATTGATAACTGCGTCGTAATTCGATAGAGTTTGGCCTTGGAGGTCGTGTATCGTAAATGCCCATACCTGCTTGAAGAAGAAAAAAAAAAACGAGGATGGAAAGAGAAGAGAAATGGCAATTAATGTTTGAGTAAATGAACGTCACAGGAAGGTATCTACAACATTAAATATGATGGAACACACATACAGAAATAGTAAGTTTTTTTAACTGCTGCAATCGAAGATAGGAACAATGGAGTATGATTTTATGCAAACATAAAAACGCATCCAGGAAAGGGGACATTTTACCATCTCAAGATATAAGTCCCCGGTCCTGGGCATTTATGATATTCTCAAATCTTCGACTGCTGTAGTTTTTAATTCTTTCAAGGCGGCATGTAAATTTCAATAAAATAACAAAAACAATAAAAAAATTCGAACGTGAACAAAGTTTGGAAAATAATGAATAGAGAAACAACAAACAAGAGACGACTCTGACTATTCACAAGAAATATGAAAGAGATTTAAAGACAATAAACAAAATTCGAAAGTACAAAAATAAAAACAAAACAAAACAAACGAAGGAACAAATATTTTGTAACATTAAACAAGGACTGTAGCGGAAAGAAACTGCAGAGTAATCATTCTAACATAATGATGCTTTTAAAAATTGTCCCTACAAAGCTGAGACTTTTCCAAGGGCAGCGATATTGACACGAAATATTCAATTTGAGCATTAATTGCAAAATTTAATAAAATATTTCTAGCTCCAGAATCTAAAACCGGAGTAAAACTCTATACCATTTTCCTCCCTTTGAAATAATTTACCAGCCTTGCAGTTTCTTTCACGCTACCGACCTTAACAACATCAAATACTTTATGGTTTTCAGTATTACAGCATTGCATTGAAGATCGATTTGAAAAATAAAAAACAGGTGGCATTTAGCATGGACTGTACGACAGTTTTCGAATGCTTGTATGTATTTTCATATGTGTGATCACAGATAGGTTTAAGCCAATATTAGTAGGTAGATGGATTTTAAGCCAATTGATTGATAGTTTTTGTTAAAACTTGAAAAGCCAGCAATAATAGCAACAACACACAATATATGATATGAATTTATTTTTGGAATAGATTTCTGTTTTTTGGTGATTTACATTAACGACGTACAGAACATTTATTTCATTTTATATGAAAGAAGATTAGAGACACGCACAAAAAATGGATTTAAATGATTCAGAAGATTTTTAAAATGGGGCTGTGTTTAAAGGGGCTTTTAAGGGTTCGAGAGATAGAAAGATAGATGGAAAAAAGTAGCATAGAGTATTTTCTATATGTGTAAGAAGATGTTACATACAAAAGTGTATTTTTTATGAAAAAAAGATGTATGCTATAAAATATATTAAAAAAAATATATATATATATATATTAAGGAATACAAAAACCAAAACAATGAAACTATTTTCCGTTCCGTCGATCATTGTCGACTCTATATGATTATGATATAAATCCACAAAGATAAGTAAGTCAGGATTTTGGAGCAGATTTTTTATGTTTCCTCAAATACAGAAAAAATGAACTCAGAATATTTACAAGTCCAAGGGACCTTACAGAAACTAGCATATTGACATGTTAAAATAGATACATGTTTACATTTAAAATGCACTATATGTTGCTGGATAGTTATGACATTCAATAACGAGGAAAACTGAAATTCAAACCAAAGCCGTTGAAAGACCTTAAGACTGGGAGTACTGAGAAACCTAAATATTCAATTAAATCTCGTTGGATAAAAACTGTGGCAGAAATATTTACAATAAAGAAAATCAGAGGTACCGAGATGGTTAATTCGACAAATTTTACGGTGATGGGATTCGGCGACGATTATTTTGAATGAAAAAATAGTTGGTAAAATATACAAATTAGAATATATGCTCTTAACGAGAAAAGTATGGATTAATCAAGCCTGTTAGTGAATATTGTGAGGGGATGAGCGACAGACTTCATATTTTGAAGGAAACATGTATTTTCAAATTTCCAGTATATATTAAAATTAAATCATACTTTTAGGCGGCAAATCATTGAAAATGTGATTTCTTCCGAAGAAGATTCAAATCTATTTTTTTTATTTATAAGTAAAAAGGCAGCTAAATTGGACCACGCCGACCTCTTATACCCTCCAATATCATATTTTTAATATTTTCTGTGCAAAATGTGGCTAGAATTCCAAATATCGTGAGATACCGTTGCATGAGACCTATACGAAACCGTGGACCTATATTGACAACTTGCTATCAGTCGAAGAGGTACCCATTACAAAATAAATTTCTGACAAATATATTGAAAAATGTGTCGAAAATCATTCAAATACCAGGAGTTTCTGTCATATGGAGACTGTACGAAAACGTGGACCTGCATAGATAATTGTCTGTCATAGAAAGTGGCCCCAATATGAATTCTAAATGTCAAATTTGAAACACTTCTGCTCAACAAAAAGACTTTAATCATCAAAATGCCGATTGTATGGGACTACACTCAAATACGTAGAAAATTTTCTGCTCCACAACGAGGTACCTCTTGGAAACTCCAAACGCCAACTTAGAAAAAAGGTCCTTTAAAATGTTGGGTCGAATATCGAAAGGTACCATTATGTGCAGTAGACAGTCATTTGCAGGGAATTTTACGGATAGCTGGGAACACAAACTGCCGATTTAAAGTAAATTTTGTACAAAAAAATATGAGTTAAACTTAAAAAAAAAAACAAGTATCGAGCGGTATAGTTTTATGGGGTCTATACCAAATGGTGGACCTATTTAGCCCATTTTCATAAAGATATAATAAAAACTTTGCAAACCTCCTCCTTTCCGTTTGGAAGCTAGCGTGATTTCGACGGACGGACTAATTACAAATTTATACTGATCAAAATATGTAAAGGACGACTTTTTATCTTTTTGGCAACACTAATTTAAACAGCTCACGTAAGCGTTGTGTTTTGATTCACTGTCAAAATATCTTCAGTTTGGTCTATAATTGTCATATACTAATTAAATGGTTGCAAATCATTAAATGTTATTATCAAAATGTATGATCTCTTAAGAAAGATCATCGCGCGGTCATTGTGTTTAGTGGCGAAGCTCATTTTTGACTCAATGGGTACGCAAATAAAAAGAATTGTATATTTTTTAGTGAAAATCAGCCAGAATCAATACAAAAGTTACCAATGCATTCAGAAAAAGTCAAAGTTTTCTGTGATTAATGGGCTTTAGTGAATATCAGCCAGAATCAATACAAAAGCTACCAATGCATTCAGAAAAAGTCAAAGTTTTCTGTGGTTAATGGGCTTGTGGCATCATTGGACCGTACTTCTTCAAAGATGCTGTGAACCATAACGTAACTATGAATAGCGAGTGCTACCGTGAGATGATATCCAATTGTTTGCATGGCACATGCCACACAGCACGCGTTAGAATGTAACGCGAGTTCGGTAAATGGATCACAATTATAGATCAATCGAAGCGAAATTTTGCAGAGGGTTAGGGTCGGCACTATGAGTCGGCTATATATTAAGCTGTAAACTTAGTCTTAGTTTTAACTTTTCCTATTACCTGCGTATAAGCCAAAAGATTTTTATTTATAACAGTATTTGAAATATTAGACGATTCTAAGGAGCATGGTTAACAAATAACAACAAATCTGAAGGCAAATTCGATTCAAGATGATGGTTAATGTAGTATCAAACTAGTTTCTTATAACAAAATCATCCAAATAAGTTATTATATTCATATATTCTGCTATAATGTAATTTACTTGACTGGAATTTTTATCCTTTTTGAAAGAATGCTCAAAATGTCTTATAATACAGTTAGGCTGTATAGCTGGAATACTGTTGCACAGGCAATATGTAATGACATAGTTATGTACAAAACTGAAGTCATATGCTGGTATATCTCCATTACTCTGGATTGAAAATAATCAATAAGAACCCACAATATAGAGTTGTATCTACTCAAACGTGTTGTTGTTTTTTTTTTTTTTTTTTTTGATTAGTAAGAATTATTGTAATATTTGCATAGTGAATGAAGTTCCATCAAATAAAAACGTCTTAATATAACAATTGAAAAATAAAATTAAAACATCATAATAAATATAAATAAATAAAAACAAAGTTATTCCAAATAAAAAGAAAAACAAACTATTCGTAATAAAATTATATTAGAGAGTGGGTGAAAAGTTAAGTGTGAATTGAAATGTGATGAAGTGCTCTGTTGACTATCGCTATTCAATAGAAATATTGATCTAATTTTTGTTGATTGTTTATTAATTAGCAAAACAAATAAACAAATTGGAAAATAGTCTATTTAAAAACTAGATATGTACAATGAACATAACTTATTTTCGCACTTGTATATGAATTTTGAAATATTATTTTATTTTCTTTTACTGTAAAAGCCAATTGAGAGTCAAGAAATTTACAACACCAAAAGGACTTATACGAAGTTAGCACGGGAGAAAATTGACATATCCCCCAAAAGAATGATATGTTTGTTTCTACTAATCTCAGGTACCTAACAGAAAATGGGCTCTATAACTTTTATGTCGCCGAAATCTGTTCACAAAATGTGTAAATTATTTCATGCATATAGTTTGGATAGCCCTACAAAAATATTCCTATATCAATGTTTATAGCTCCAATGACCCTTAAAATTCCAATATAATAAATATTTTAGGTCTTGTAGCTGCTATAGTCCTTGAGAAAATGTATAATTAAAAAAACAAGTAAAATAGTATCAGTCGGTTTTGCCGAGAGATGTATACCCCCAACCTTGAGTTATGTTTATTTAAACTGTTAACCCTTTATGGGGGAGGTTCCGAAGCATATGCGTGAGGCAACAGATATAGCGGACCGAAGTATTCCATTTCGCAAGTTATGACTGATAAAAGTATTGAAAATTGTGACCCTTTGTGGGTGAGATACCAGAAGGGGTTCACAGAATCGGATGCTAATTTCGCGTTTCAGGAGCTTCATGGATACTCAAAATGTTGACGCTTTATGGGGGAGGTACCAGAACGATTGGACCGATATATCCCATCTTCACACCAGATCTTGGGTTATGATGTATTTAATTTGAAAAGAACCGGATGCTTATTTCGGATTTTATGAGAATTTTTGTTACTCAAAACTTTGACACTTTGTGGGGGAGGTACCAGAATGAATGATCCGATCTCTACCATCTTTATAACAGATCTTGTGTTGATAGAATTATTGAGCTGTGCCAAGTCTGAATGGCCTCGGATGTTAATTTCGCGACATATAAGCTTCATAGATATTCAAAATTTTGACCCTTTGTGGGGGTAGGTACTTGATGAAGTAGACCGTAGGTACTTGATGAAGTAGACCGATATATTCCATCTTCAGATCAGACCTTTGGTTAATAAAAAATATTATGATGTGTGAAATTTGAGGACAATTGGACAATTATACTACATTTTATAGGAGTTATAATTATTCAAAATTTTGACCCTTTGTGGGGGAGGTACTTGATGGAGTGGATCGATATTGTTCAATTTCGCACCTAAACTATGAGGCACGTTTTATAAAATGATATATACCCTCTCTGTGCCCATATGGCTGAGGGTATAAAAATAAAAGATTGTAATAAAATGTATGTTTGGACCTTAAATAGTTCCTGAAAAGTCTTTATGTTTACAGCACTCGTAGTACCAAATAATATTTTTAAAATCCGAATTTTTAACTCCAACAGTTCTTAAAATTTTCCTAAAAATTCCTAATTTAGTTATGAGTCACTGAAAAAAATATTAAAAAACAGTTTAGAAATTTTTTTTGAAAAATATTTTGAATAAAATTAAGTTTTTGGTCTGATCTGATCGGCAATAGCTCTGATAGTCCAAAGAGATATTCTTTAAAATCCACGTTTACATCACTAATAACCTATACCAAACATAAAAATTTTGTCTCAAATATTTGGCAATTTTTTAAGAATTTAGAATAGCATACGAATATAAGTTATGTTGTTCATGTATAAAAGAGGAGTCATACATTCGGACGGAAGTTATATTTTGTTGTTGTTGTTGGTTTTATGTGATAATTTATTGTTATTATTATTAGTACACAAAAATATATGATATAATTATTAGTTCTCTTTTTTTGTAAATTTAATAATTTATATAAAAACACTGATGCTCTTTTGTAGGTAGGTAATAAATTCTGACCTGCAATGGCAACAGCAGTTTGCTTCGTTAGATTACTGTTATTTTCCAGATGTGAAAGCATATTATATGGTTTAACATTGCCTGGAAGATACATATATAATGATACAAACGTTTGGTGATTGATTTGACAGATGGTTACGATGACATTAATGCAAAATGAAATTATAAGTAACTACAAATTAATGCGTTTTGAATTATAAAAATGGAAATTATAGGAAAAATTATTTGATTATTAACAGAAATATACAAATTATATATGTATTTATAATTCTTGTTGTACATAAAGACAGAGAGGGAATCTCATGAAATTGCAAGAAAATATGTTGGAATTTTTTGTAAGACCAAATATATATTTGTTAGCTCCTACAGTCCTGGAAACAATATTCTTATAAAATCCTCGTTTATAGTCGAAACCATTCTTGAATGAAAAATTTTGTTAAAAAATCAAGATTCTTTGTCTGTTAGTCATTCAAAAATATTCTTAAAAATCCAAGGTTCTTGTTCTGTTGGTTCTTAAAAAATGCATTCATAGTTTCTCGGGCCGCTTAAATGTGCTTATAACGATTACGATTACTTCTGCTTACTGGTTAAAATTTTGTTGTATCTATTAGAGTCAGTAAAAGAACACTCATAGAAACCATGAGAGATTGTCCTTCAAAGAACAGCCTTATTAAACCATGCTTTTAACTACGGTAGTTCTTTAAAAAATATTTAAAACAGAGTTAACATGTATCGGTCGGTATCAGTCGGTTTTGCCGACAGATGTATACCCTCAGCCTATGCCAGTTTATGAAAATATATTTCAACATCCGTTAGGATTATTCAAAATGTTGACACTTTACAGCGGATTACCGAAGGAGTGGTCCAATATTCTCAATTTCACAATACTAAGTCTATCTAGGTATTCCATTTTCACACCAGATCTTGTGGTGATAAAAATCTTGAGATGTACCGAGTATAAAAAGAATCGGATTTTGTTCGCCATTTATGAGCGTCATGGTTATTCAAAATTTTGACCCGTTGTGGGGAAGGTGCCACAAAAAGTGTTCTGGTTGTTGATAAAAAATATTGAGATTCGTGACATTTGAAGACAATTTTATAAGAGGAATGATTATTCGAAATTTCGACCCATTATGCGGGAGGTACCAGAAGGATTGGTCCGATATTGTCTATTTTTCCTCCTGACATAGCATAGACACAAGGAGTAGTCCGATATTGTCTATTTTTCCTCCTGACATAGCATAGACACAAGAATTTGCAGACTTTAAACAAAATCGGATGATCCTTTTTTCCTTTATATACAATTTCTACTTAGGAAATATTAGGATGTGCGGAGTTTGAAAAGAATTTGACACCTACTTCGCCTTTTGTGACAGTTATAATTTTTCAAAATTTTGACCCGTTGTGGGGGAGGTACTAGAAGGAGTGACTTAGCACTGATACAAATATTAGAATTTGCAAAGCTTGCACCATATCGCATGTTCCTTTTTTATATGAGGTAAATTATTTTCTGTGAAAATGGCGACCTTTTTGGGAGAGGTGCCAGAAGGAGTCTACCGACATTGCCCACCTCCGAACTCCATCTAAGATTGAAAATAATATTACAATGTATCAAGTTTGCACCAAATCGGATACTCTCTTTAAGAGTTATCGTACACACCAGACAGACAGTCGGACGGAGGCATGTTTTGGACGTATCAAATGATTAATACCCCCTGCAGCCATATGGCTGAGAAGATAAAAATCCACGTCTGCAGTAATTAACTGCTAATCGTAAAGCCTTGGCGACTGAAGAACTCAGCGAATCGTCTATTTTCCCAGTGGCGATGCCGCTCTGTTCTCCTTCTACCTGAAGCGTCTTCTGCCTAGAGAGGGGCTTATCGGTACTGGCCGATGATATGTAGAGGTGGACCATCAGAACTTTTCAGGTCGTCAGAAAACCGAGCTACATCCCGCGGGGTCAACCCATGATTGGAGGTGGAGACATGAATTGCCGTAGTATCTATATCCGCTTTCTCCTCCGCCAAGGGGTTTCCCAGTAATCAATAAGGATTTTTAAAAAGGTAACATCCTTATTGCAATAATTGGTCGGATTGCCTGCTGCTGCTGCTTTGAAACACTCTCTGTTATAAAGTCTAAGATCAGGACATTGTCACTTCCTAATCTAATATTTGTTAAAGCGTCCAGGTATCAGCCAAGCTCCGTTAAAATACAGTCGGTACACTAACTGCAAACCTGAAATACCGATGGGCACGATGTCGCATAACACCCCAGCATTAGGGGGCCCTGTTTATATGGGGACCAGAACAAGGTTTGGATAATTTAGGGACGCCAAAACATCCTCCAAAAAATATTCTTAAAAAATCCACGTGTATAGAACTGATAGTCCTTCAAAAAGTATTCTTTAAAAATTCACGTTTGTAAATCTGCACGTCCTTCAAAAAATATTCTTTAAAAATTCACGTTTGTAAATCTGCTAGTCCTTCAAAAAAAGTTTCTTTGAAAATCCACGTTTGCGGATCTGAAAATATATTCTTCAAGAAGTAAATTATTGTTAATTAAAAAAATTTAATAAATTAATAGCTCTGAAATTCTTTGAAAATTCTGATTATAGTTCTAAATGTCCTTAATAACATATTGGTAAAAACAACCCCTTTTATGATCTTTATAGTTCCTCTCAAGAACCCAATATCTGTCCTTGATATCAATTTTCCAATATCATTCCTTCAATTTCATGAGATTTCCCTCTGGAAACATTGTTGTTTGCTTCTTTCCATTATCTTTCTTATCTAATTGTTTTTTTCTGATTTTCTTGTTTTGGCAGCGATGTAATCTTTGATGAATGTCGTCTGGCAAACAGCCTACAAGGCGGAATGACAAACAGACAAACAACGTTAGGTGTGAATATTCATGAGCTGTTTTGCAAAAAAAAAATGTTTGCCAAAGTTGCGGCTCGAAATTTGATTTGATTTTTGGCTAATGGCTTTGCTTAGCACTAACGGACGGTGAATGGATGGTGGTGATGGCTTAAAATGCTGTTGAGTTTTCCTATTTTCGAAAATGAGCGGAAACAAAAGAAAAAAAAATAATGTTAATGGGAATATATCAGTCATTTAGAGCAACTTGGAACGTGAGCGATTCTTTTTTGTATAAACATACATATTAGAAAAAAACATAAATGAGTGGATTGGGGGTGGTCATGGGAAAAACTAGAACTAGAACAAACAGAAGTAGCTGTAGTAGAGGAGAAGAATACAAGCTAGTTTCGATTTCTTTTAAAATGCATTGATTTCATGGCTTTGCGTAGCATTTGCTTTTAATTTTTCCTTTTTTGCGCTTTTTTTTTGGCTTTAATTTTTTGCCTCTTTTGCTGTGGCAGCATGAAATGTTTGCTTGATGGATTTTTAACTTGAATGGATAGAGGAAGAAAATAATGGATGGATGGTTGGCTGGTGGGCTAGTTGGTTGGTTGAGTGACTGGCTGGCTGGCTGGTTGAGTGACTGACTGAGTAGCTGGCTAGCTTGACATGACTCTGAGAAGAGGAGAAGGAGGAAAACGAAAAACGCTGTCGTTGCGTTGTCGTACCTACATGTAAATTCATCAAAGTTGCTGCCGTTGTTGTCACTCGTGTTGCTGACCACAAAATATTGACGATTTTTGTGACGACGACGATTGCGTTTCAAGAAAAATATATCACCATCACCACCACCATCACCTTCTGTTTGATCGTGTTCTTCTTCTTGTTGTTGCAGTAACAGTAGAAGCTGTTGTAGTTGTTTGTCTTCTTGGTGTTGCTGTTGTTGTTGTTGTAGTGTTGTACTCTCACTATCTGCTGTCATTGGGACAGTAGTTTGGATTTCAACAAGTTGTGCTAATATAAAACATATATATGTAATATCGTATTGGAAAAATCAACAAATTTGTTTTGTTGTTGTCGTTTCGATGTTGTTGTGGAACGAGAGTGTTGTTATTACGTTGGTTGGCAGTTTGGTTGGTTAGTTGAGTTGTAAAAAAATTTCGAAAAAAAAATGGTTTGAAGTAAAAAACAAAACAAAGAAACACAAAATCATTAGTACTTTGCATTAAAACAATTAAATCAAAAAATATATTTAAGTCTTTTCTTTTCTTTTCCTTTCCTTTCAAGTTGTGGAGAAAGTTGCTCTACAAGCCGAGTGTTGTAATTCGCTACGCATCACTTCGCATATCATTTCAAATTGAAAATTGTAACACAGCAAAACTCATTCATCCGGAAACAACAAAGTAATCACGTTTTGAAAAAAAAATCTCTTTCACAAACGACATTTTTTGTGTAGTTGTTGTTATAATTGATATGCTGTTGAAAACAGCAACAGTTTCGATCTCGCGAACATATAAAACCTAAGCCGGTATTAGATATCAATCAAGGGGATTGAGAAATTGAAACAACATTGTCTGCATATGTGGAAATAAATTTAGCAGCCGTAAGATGTAAAGGGGGTGAGGATTTAAGGAATAAATTTTAAAATACTCTTGCATTTCAGAAAAAATAAACCAGTGAGAAAAAAAAGTGGCCAATGTGGACTATATGATGTCCTTCGTCACTCTGCATATTTATTAGCTGCAAAAATAATTTTATATTGGGTCTTTGTAAATCGAGGTGTAGTTTGACTAGAACATATATCTGAATTTGAAACGATTTCAAAAAAAAAAATTGACAGATATTTATTTATAAGCTCCCAACATACCAAATTGACTTGAGAATAATATTTTAATAAGCTTTCACACATAAGCCTTAAGCTTGAGAAAATCTTGAGAATGTATTGAGAAATGCTTGTTTAACAATTATAGAAAAATCGAAAGGGAACCCTTATTCATAAGCTTATTCTTGTAATTGCAGAATAAGCTCACGAAAGTAATATTATATCAAGCTTATTTTTTCAATGGTATAAAATATTTATTTTTTTTTTAATTATTTTACACATTTCATTCATTGATCGCCATCCTAGCTGTCGCTGCCTCCTGTTGCATTGATACCTAGATGCTTTCTTTCCCCTTATTTGAGCTTCCGCATCTCCTCCACTAATTCTTTACTTCTCTTGAATTCTTGCAACTTTTTGACGCCTCTATTCTGAAATGAGATTGAAATAATATACACTATAGATTCCCAGATTTATTATTCATCATTACCTTAGAATTTCGTCCAGAAATGGGTCTTAAATTCGCGTGATTTTGATTTTAACCAAAGAAAATATTTTTTTGTCGACAATTTTCAGAAAAAAAATTAAAACAAATTTGTCAACAAAGGACAGATTTGAGAAAAGTTTGTGCAAAAAAGTTTTTCTCTAGCATTGTTGAGGAATTCTTACGATAAACTATTTTCATAATATTATTCTCAAGCTGTATTGTATTTTTGGTATGTTGGGGTATGTCTTTACATAAATATAATAGATATTGGAAACATACTACGACAATGATATCAAGGTAGGGCTATGATACCATATGATTTTAATTTTTTTATTTTCTTGGCTTCCCAACATACCAAATTGACTTGAGAATAATATTTTAATAAGCTTTCAAACATAAGCCTTAAGCTTGAGAAAATCTTGAGAATGTATTGAGAAATGCTTATTTAACAATTATAGAATAATCGAAAGGGAACCCTTATTCATAAGCTTATTCTTGTAATTGCAGAATAAGCTTACGAAAGTAATATTATATCAAGCTTATTTTTTCAATGGTATAAAATATTTATTTTATTTATAATTCTTTAATTATTTTACACATTTCATTCATTGATCGCCATCCCAGCTGTCGCTGTCTCCTGTTGCATTGATACCTAGATGCGTTCTTTCCCTTTATTTGGCCACAAACCTTGGACATTCCAACAGGACTCAGCACCATCGCACTCAGCACGCGCCACCCAAGAATGGTTACAGAATGCGGTTTCTTGCTTCATTTCCATCCCACAATGGCCACCAAAAACTCCGGATACCAATCCGTTGGACTGATGTGTCTGGAGTATTTTGGAAAGCAAGGAGGTTGGCACTAAAAAATACCAAAGTGTCGATCACCTCAAGCAAGCGCTTCGCCGGGAATGTGACAAAATGTATAGTATATCCCAATTTCATCCAATAAAAACACTAACATAAGAAAAACGTTATGGTCCTCTGTAATATTCTCTACGATCTGTATTACCATATCTCATTACTATAATTTTTCTATCTGCTGATATGATAACTCTTTTGCTAATACTTCTACCAAGTAACACCCTTATATTTAGGCTCTCAAAAGAATACAACATCTGCGTAGATATGTTTGTGTGTAACAACAAATCATGGATTCACATCATAACGCCAACATATTTTTTGCTTAAATTGGAATTTCAATAATTTTTGAAAATTCCGAAAATATTTTTAACAACGACGCCCAACCGGCATATTATCACTTTGTAGTTGTTATTGCCTTTCAACGGACGCTATCTTACGATTTACTACCCCTCCGGCCTGCTTCCATCTATGGGTGAGTGTGTGCTCGCGGAGTGGGTGCAAAAGATAACAATATTTTTTTTTTTCATTTTCTTCATATTGGTTTTGTTGTAAGAAAGTTGTTGGCAATTTTTGTTTTCATCCGGTCTTCAACTTCATTCATTTGCTCGTTCGTTCGAATTCTATTATTTATTAGGCCGGTCGGTCTGGTAGTGATGGTGGTGAGTCAAATTGTTTGTTGTTTTATTTTTTTTCTTTCTATAAATGGGTGTGATTTTTTTATTGTTATACAATAACATTGTGGTGGTAGAATGGTGGCTATCGACGTTAGTCATTCAGGTTTGTAGCTCCTTAAAGTAAACGTTTGAGCAACTATCGATTATGATTATGACGAAAAGTTATTCCGTCGACAGACACTGCACAAATCTACAATGCATAGAAGATTTTCTCCTGTAATCTATGGATGGGACGTTTCCGTAAGGTTTCCTAAAGTAGAAGTCATTTTATAGAAAGAGCTTTTACAGCAATTCTTTTGTATATGGAAAATCCGCTACAGTTTCCCTATATATTGAAGACCTTCTACAGGTGTTGTTTCATAAACAAAATAAACAGTGCGCCATTTTTTTAAATCGAGTGCAATTTTCGCACACCTTCTGCAACATTTACATGATCTGATGTAATGAGCTAAGTTTCACTTTTCACGAAATAAGCGCTAGTTGAAAAAAAGTTCGATTGCGGCCCCTTTAGATCTCTCAGGTTTTTTTCTAGACAAAGATCTTTCTGTTTGCCTTCAAAAGAACTGAGTAAACTATTCTATTTTGGACGAGATCCAACATTTGATTTGGACAAGGAACATTGAAGAAGGGCAGCATCCTTACGGACTTCCAGAGGTCTTGGGAGCAAATCTTAGACTGCCCTAAATTCGCTCTCGTAAGCGGGAAAACTCGAAGAGTACGAGTTTTACAAGAAGTTTACTTTCCATTCGCTGGCGGTTTCACCTGTTTAAACAGTAGACTACGCTGCCCTGAAATCGACTTTTATTTCCCAATCTCCGGAATTTTTTGCGGAATTCTTAAGCAGCGAGGATTGAGCATAACGCTTATTTACTACTCACCATGTAAAGAAGAGCTCCGATTTGTTCGAGTGAGAAATGCTCGCGAGCGGGAATACTCGAAGAGTACAAGTTTTACAAGAAGTTTACTCTTCACTCGGTGGCTGGTTCCCCAGTTTAAACAATAGAGTAAGCTGCCCTGAAATCTATTCTAAATTCCCAATCTCTAATATAATTGCAGAATTTTTAAGCAGCTAGGATTGAGCTAAAGGCTTTCTGGCATACAGGGTGATATGAAAAAAGTTGCAACCAACTTCAGAATGCTGTTATTTCTAAGCCACTCGTCCGACAGCTGTTTAAATTATTCCAGTGACAGCTAATATATTGTCTTCAAGCGTATAAAAACATTTTCGTAAGAATTTTCCAGAAAAAGTTATTAGTAATGGAATTCAAGCGCGATAGTGTGATTTCTTTATATTTGGCGGGAAAACCACAAGTGGCTATCGTTAGAGCACTCCAGCATTTAAATGTGAATAAATCTATTTTTGTCTCGTACCCTTGCTCGTTAACGTGATACTGGTAGCGTAGTCCGGTGTCAAGGAAGCGGACGGAATATAAGAGCAACATCAGCAGAAATTGTTTGAAAAGTAAAGAAGCGACTTGATCGCAACCCGCGTCGCAGTGACCGAGTGAACATATCGCAATATTACATTCGGAAAATATTGAAAAATGAGCTCGGAGTAAAGCCATTGAAATTGAAAAAGTGCAAGAACTTACACCGCAACAGAAAGAAAATAAACTCGAAAGAGCTCAAGAGTTGCTTCGCTTGACCGAAAGTGATGAACTGCCGAATTTGGCTTTCTCCGATGAGAAAACATTCGTTGTCCAGCAGTTTGTAAACAAACAAAATGGTCGTGTCTACTTGCCAAATAGATCAGCTGAAAATGTGCGCCGGTCATGGTGATGGTGTGGGCCGTCTTGAGCGCGCAAACATTTTGGCCGCAGACCTTGGACATTCCAACAGGACTCAGCACCATCGCACTCAACACGCGCCACCCAAGAATGGTTACAAAATGAGGTTCCTCGCTTCATTTCTAGCGCACAAAAGCCCCCAAAATCTTCGGATATCAATTCGTTGGACTATTGTTTCTGGAATATATTGGAAAGCAAGGTTGGCACTAAATAGTACTAAAGTGGCGATCACCTCAAGCAAGCGCTTCGCCTGGAATGGGCCAAAATGCCGCAGAGCAACATTCGAGCAGCGTGTGACGGTTTCATTGACCGTCTGTCTGTTGAAATCACGATACAGCCCACATTATTTGAAGTAGAGCGTTGAAATTGAGTAAATCAATTTGTATTGTGCCTAGGATGGTTGGTATTGAAAATGAGACGTATCGGTCCACGCTAGTCCCCATAAAACGGTACCTTTCGATATTCGGTATTTTGTTCATTTTTCCACATTTCTTCACGGATTTGTATAAAAATTGGTATTTGTAGGTCATAATGGGATCTTGCTCATGTAGCGAAACTTTGTATGTATAGGTCCACGTTTTGCTATGTCCCCCATATAACGGTACCTCCCGATATTCGGTATTTTGATGATCTTTGCCAAATTTTTTCACGGATTTGTCTAAAAATCGGCATTTGTAGGTTATAATAGGTTCTAGTTTGTGTGGTAAAACATTGTATGTATAGGTCCACGTTTTGGTATGGCCCCCATATAACGGTACCTCTCGATATTCGGTATTTTGATGATCTTTGCCACATTTTTTCACGGATTTGTCTAAAAATTGGTATTTGTGGGTCATAACGTGTTCTAGCTCCAGTGGCGAAGCATTGAATATTTAGGTACACGTTTTTCTTTTTTAGCGCACATAAATCTATACCCACCGATATTCGGTATTTTGATCATCCACATTTAAATATGATTTTTTTTCAAATTTGGTATTTTAGAAGATTTGATAGATGACAATTCTTGAAGTATAAAATTGTCTGTAGAGGTTTCCGTTTTGGTATGGCACCATATGACGGCTTCACTCACGTTATGGTTTTTTGATAAGTTTAACTGCATTAGGCAAAAGGTCTTACTGGTATTTCCAGTTTAAAATGGTGCACGCTTTGATTCAGATACTTTTATATAAAAATGTTTCCTTTACCCTAAGATGGGGGGTATTTAAAGTTCGGCCCGGCTGAACTTAATATTTTTTGAGTTGAATGAAAGCAAATTCAATAAAATTAAAAAAAAATTAAAATTATGGCGTTTGACTTTGTTGCAGTTTTTTATCTCACCCTGTACTTTTAAGCGATTCCAACGATTTCTGAACTAAGAAGGCGCGGTTATTTTTTCAAATTTTGGAGATATATTTTCCATAATTTTCCAGGCTAAACGGCTTAGGTCATGATCTAGAAAATTAATATGAAGACCAATTTTTTTAACCTAAGACTTTTAGACTGGGAGTGAATAATCTTGGAAGATAAATCTGCAAAATCCTAAATATATATGCAAAATATGTAAACATTTTCTTTATATTCTTCGCTATTTTTTAAAACATTCGAAAATCCTAAATTAAAATTTCAAAATGTTACCACCCAAGGGTATAAAAACATCCGCAATGAATGAATTTTTCATTATAAAAATTACTTGATATAAAACCTGTACACAAACAAAATTTGAATAAAACTCAACTGTTTTGAATTTATTTCTTCCAGTTACGTTTTGCGTTTACAACATTAGGCGTTAATAGAGCAACATCACACCTTTTGGAAACAACGTACATAATACTCGTATGCATTAAGAATACATTCATATGTACGTTATGTAGGTTTGCCAACAACAACACCCTTGCTGATAGTCCGTAGTCTCTAAGGCTTTTCCGGACAACACCCTGTAGAACACATTTTCAAATGTATTGTGTGTGTACTCTGTGTGTAAAAATACATTACCCGAAAAAAAATGAACAAAAAAACAACACAAAACACAAACTTATAATTAATTAAAACCATAAAAACAACGGAAAATTAATCTACCCACAACCTGAAACAGAAACGGTTTGCTGTTGTTGTTGTTGTCCACAATGGTGTATGGCAGGACAATGATGAGACCGTCACCGACTGACCGACAGACTGGTTGCCTGCCACATACAACTGGGACTGGATTACATAAAACATTATACTTACTGCCATAACCAGCCTCCTCGTTGACCACCGAATTCGGGGTACGATAAATAACATTATTTGGCATTAAAGTCTCCCCATGACCAATAGCAATTTGTCGTTGTTTCTCTCGTGTATTGTGCGGCGTCCGCACCCTCTTCTTGTGACCACGTCCACTGGCACCACCATCCTGCCGCGGCTTGTGCATTTTCTTGCCCTTATCGTGCATAACACGTTCCGTATCCTTTAGCATTTCCTGACGCCACAGCTCAAAGAAGTAATTCGGATCTGTGTAGAATTTAAGACCATCCTTGCCATCATCCCGATAGATGTTGAGTTTATCCAGCGGTGGTGGTTTATCACATTGTGCATAGGTTTCGAGCATGGGTGCCGGCATTGTGGCTCGTGAGAATATTTGTTGATCGAAATTTTTGGCAGATTTAAAAGCTTTCTTCCGTGTTATATCGGTTAGGGGAACCTCTTCGACGGTACTATCCAGCTGGGTAACCTTAATGGCCAGTCGATCGATACGAGCCTGCAGTGAATTTGCACGATCACCAATGTTGCCGACATCGCGGGCCAGCTCACCGAACACATCTTCGGCATGTTTCGAAAGTGACGATAGCTGACGTATAATATTGGTCAGCGTTGTGTTTGTCACCGTTTCCAATTCCACCGATTGCAATTCATCCTGCTGATAGACAGAACGGGCCACATGCACCGGCTCAATTGAACGTTTGGGCAGTGGCATTTTGTTGTTTGAATCTCAATGCGATGATTGAGCGTACGGATTCAAAGAGGAAGATGTTGGGCGTCGGGTTTTCGATTTTTCAATTTCGGTCAAACATTAATTGATCTGGAAGGAGAAAGAACAAAAGGAAACATATTATTAATATGTATTGAAAGGGAGGTGGACTTTAATAATAACACTGGCACAATTTTAAAATAATATAATAAGAAAATATTGAAATTATTGTTATATTCCTGAACCTGCAAAAATCTACATGTTTTACATTTTTTTTTTTTTTTTGTAAAAAAATCAGTTCTAAAACAGGCTGTATATCTAATTATTTCTAATAGTCAAAAAGTGCGAATATAATTACAAATTAAACTTCACCTAACATTGATACCAGTTAAGGATAGTTAAGCATTTTCATAGCATACTTTTAGGCGGTCCTTACATTTTTTAATACCATCCACCATCAAATAGAGAGTGAACGATAGAACTTATCTCTATATTTATTTTTGTTTATTTCTTATTTTCGCTGTGTGTCACAATTTTTTATCAGTTTTTATTTTTATTGAATTGAGTTAATAAAGATAGAATGGCCACTCACTTAAAATTTTGAATGACCTTCACCAAGCACACATGTTTTTATCTATATATAATTCATTTTCAAATTATTTATGTTCAACTTATTAAACATTCGGTCAATGGACCATAGCCAATTGTGTGTTGAGAGTTCATCTTTTGACACTCTTCAAATGTTGGTGGGTGGTGGCTCTCCCTCAGTTTTATTTGATCTCTCTCTCTCTCTCTCTTTAAGATGCTGTAACAATAACAATGATCGTGGTTAGTCATTCGTCATTGTTGCTTTGTGTTTGGTCAGATAATGATAAAAAAAACTATGCGTTTCCGAAAAAATAACCATAAAGAAAAACCAAAAACAACAACCTATACCCCTACGCGGCAGCAGTGACTAATGCGGGTCAGCCGGCCAATAATGATAGCCAGTAATATTAACAACTTTTTAGGGTGGGGTTAATATAAAAATTTAGATTCTGATTGAATTGATAAGGAAACCAAAATTATTTGATGAAATATTGCAAAATCTTTCTTGTGAAAATCACGGCCTCTAACAATTTTTCACATACCTGTGGGGACACCTGCAGAACATGACTTTCAACTGCTTCGTAATAATTATAATTCTTTGTGGATACTATTGTATAAAAAACCATAGACTGCCGACTCAATAAGAGCGTTGAGCGCAAACCATCCATATGGATGTAAGTGATAAGAGCGAGTTTAGAGTCATAAATAAAATGATTTTTCACAAATATATTTATCATTTGTATTTATCATCTCACGAACCATTTTTTGGCCAGTGCGACGCGAGTTTCGATCAAGTCGCTTCTTTATTTTTCAAACCATTTCTGCTGATGTTTCTGTTTTCTTCCGTCCACTTCCTTGACACCGGACTACGCTACCAGTATCGCGTTAACGAGCAATGGTACGAGACAAAAATAGATTTATTCACATTTAAATGCTGGAGTGCTCTAACGATAGCCACTTGTGGTTTTCCCGCCAAATATAAAGAAATCACACTATCGCGCTTAAATTCCATTACTAATAACTTTTTGTGGAAAATTCTTACGAAAATGTTTTTGTACGCTTGAAAACATTATATTAGCTGTCACTGAGTGGCTTAGAAATGACTGCAGTCTGAAGTTGGTTGAAGCTTTTTTCAAATCACCCTGCATGCCAGAAAGCCTTTAGCTCAATCCTAGCTGATTAAAAATTCTGCAATTATATTAGAGATTGGGAATTTAGAATAGATTTCAGGGCAGCTTACTCTATTGTTTAAACTGGGGAACCAGCCACCGAGTGGAGAGTAAACTTCTTGTAAAACTTGTACGCTTCGAGTATTACCGCTCGCGAGCATTTCTCACTCGAACAAATCGGAGCTCTACTTTACATGGTGAGTAAATAAGCGTTATGCTCAATCCTGGCTGATTAAAAATTCCGCCAAAGATTCTGGAGATTGAGAAATAAAAGTCGATTTCAGGGCAGCTTAGTCTATTGTTTAAACAGGTGAAACCGCCAGCGAATGGAAAGTAAACTTCTTGTAATACTCGTACTCTTCGAGTTTTCCCGCTTGCGAGGGCGAATTTAGTAAACCCTAGCTGTTTAAAAATTCTATTTTAGGGCAGTCTAAGAATTGCCCCCAAGACCTACAGAAGCCCGTAAGGCCTCCTTGTCCAAATCAAATGTTGGATCTCGTCCAAAATAGAATAGTTTACTCAGTTCTTTTGAAGACAAACAGAAAGACCTCTGTCTATAAAAGACCTGAGAGATCTGAAGGGGCCGCAACCGAACTTTTTTTCAACTAACGCTTATTTCGTGAATGGTAAAATTTAGCTCATTACTTCAGATCATGTAAATGTTGCAGAATGTGTGCGAAAATTGCTTAGGAATTTTGAAAGAGGACAAGAGAAATTGTCGCATTTGAGGCAAAGAAAACCCGCATCCTATGCACCCGAAACGAGGCACACGTTGGTTCGATTTTCGGACCAGGGGCATAATTGTGCGATTTTTCTTTGAAAGTGAGCAAAGAGTGACCGATCTATGTTGAACGAATTTTTGTTCACAATAATTGCATAGGAGGATATTGGCAACATCTGCCACAAATCGAAGATACGCTCGATTTAAAAAAAAAAGCGCACTGTTTTTTTTTTTTTTTTTTGTTTATAAAACAACACCTGTAGAGGGTCTTCAATATATAGGGAAACTGTAGCGGATTTTCTATATACAAAAGAATTGCTGTAAAAGCTCTTTTATCTATAAAATGACTTCTACTTTAGGAAACCTTACGGAAACGTCCCATCCATAGATTACAGGAGAAAATCTTCTATGCATTGTAGATTTGTGCAGTGTCTGTCGACGGAATAACTTTTCGTCATAATCATAATCGATAGTTGCTCAAACGTTTACTTTAAGGAGCTACAAACCTGAATGACTAACGTCGATAGCCACCATTCTACCACCACAATGTTATTGTATAACAATAAAAAAATCACACCCATTTATAGAAAGAAAAAAAATAAAACACCAAACAATTTGACTCACCACCATCACTACCAGACCGACCGGCCTAATAAATAATAGAATTCGAACGAGCGAGCAAATGAATGAAGTTGAAGACCGGATGAAAAAAAAAAAAAAAACAAAAATTGCCAACAACTTTCTTACAACAAAACCAATATGAAGAAAACGGAAAAAAATAAATATTGTTATCTTTAGCACCCACTCCGCGAGCACACACTCACCCACAGATGGAAGCAGGCCGGTGGGGTAGTAAATCGTAAGATAGCGTCCGTTGAAAGACAATAACAACTACAAAGTGATAATATGCCGGTTGGGCGTTGTTGTTAAAAATATTTACGGAATTTTCAAAAATTATTGAAATACCAATTTAAGCAAAAAAAAATATGTTGGCGTTATGATGTGAATCTATGATTTGTTGTTACACACAAACATATCTACGCAGATGTTGTATTCTTTTAAGAGTCTAAATATAAGGGCGTTGTTTGGTAGAAGTATTAGCAAAAGAGTTATCATATCAGCAGATAGAAAAATTATAGTAATGAGATATGGTAATTCAGATCGTAAAGAATACTAAAGAGGACCATAAAGGTATTCTTGGTATTTTTTTTGAATGGAAATGGGAGAGATAAAAAAACTACAACCAACTTCAGACTGTTGTCATTTTCCAAGCCACTTGCCCGACGGCTGTTAAAATTATTCCAGTGACAGCTCATTATATTGTTTACAAGCGTACAAAAGCATTTTGGTGAGAATTTACCAGAAAAAAATTATTCGTGATGGAATTCAAGCGTGATAGTGTGATTTCTTTATATTTGGATGGAAAACCACAAGTGGCTATCGTTAGAGCTCCAGCATTTAAATGTAAATAAATCATTTGCGTCTCGTACCATCGCTCGTTACCGTGATACTGGTAGCGTAGCCCGACCTCAAGGAAGTGGACGGAAGAAAACAGCAACATCTGCAGAAATGGTTCGAAAAGTAAAGAAGCGACTTGATCGAAACCCTCGTCGCAGTGGCCAAAAAAAAGGCTCGTGAGCTGAACATATCGCAATATTTCATTCGGCAAATATTGAAAAATGAGCTCGGGGTAAAGTCATTAAAATTTCAAAAAAGTACAAGAACTTACACCGCAACTGAAAGAAAATAGACTCAAAGAGCTAAAGAGTTGTTTCGCTTGGCCGAAAATAGTGAACTGCCGAATTTGGTTTTCTCCGATGAGAAAACATTCGTTGTCCGGCAGGTCGTAAACAAACCAAATGATCGTGTTTAATGGCCAAAAAGGTCAGCTGAAAATGTCCACCTTCGGTTGGCCACCAGAACTCAAGCGCCGGCCATGGTGATGGTGTGGACCGCCAACACAGCCGATTGTCGCTTTTCGCTCTTAATCTTTCTTAATCTACCGTGGCATCAGAATAAATACCGAATATTATCGCGAAAATATTCCGGAGGGTGTATAGAAGCCTTGGCCTAAGACCTGGACATTCCAACAGGACTCAGCACGCGCCACCCAAGAATGGTTACAAAATGAGTTTCTCGCTTCATTTCCAGCGCACAATGGCCACCAAAATCTCCGGATACCAATCCGTTGGACTATTGTGTCTGGAGTATTTTGGAAAGCAAGGTTGGCACTAAAAAATACCGAAGGGTCGATCACCTCAAGCAAGCGCTTCGACCGAAAAAGGGGCCAAAATACCGCAGAGCAACATTCGGGCAGCGTGTGACGGTTTCATTGGCCGTTTGAAGGCCATAATTCGTGCCAAAGGTGACCAATTCGAACAAATCTAAACTTATTTTAAAATTTGATGATATTTCCGACATTTTTTTGCTTTCATTCAATAAAATTTAAAAAAAAAATGTAAAAATTATTGCGTTTGAATTTTTTGCAGTTTTTTTTTATCTCACCCTGTATTGCTCTGACATGATGTGTAAATGGAAATTTAGACTCCTCAGTTTAAAAAATCGTATCTCTATTTAAATAAGGTTTTGAATTCAAAGATTGTACATATTTTATAGAGAAAGAGTTTTACACG